CCCGATTTCTTCCACAATATGTTATAACTGAGATGACGAGTAAATCAAAACGTCCCATCATTCGTGTCGTTCTGACTTCGTACACGTGTCAGTTATAGGCTGGCTGTCTTCAAATGTGAAACATCGCGCATTGATTGCTTTTTCCCCTATAAAAGCCTCAACCCCATTCACTTCTTCCACTTTCCGATTCTAGACTATACCTTCGAACATTCTAACACCTTTTAACTTCTCCGGATCTTCATACATTTTTCATTGAGCCTTCATATCTTCATCTTCATCTTCATACATTTCCAGACCTTCATACCTTAATACAATCTTCAAATCTTCATATTTTTCTTCAGACCTCTATTTTCCAGATTATAATGGCAAAATCTTCCAAGTCAATGCCTCAGCAAGCTGCCCCTTCATCTTCTGGTGGATTGTGATCCTTTTACGCCATTTTGTGAACAACACCAAAGCTCTTCGGTTCACCCTCGACCATCTACTCTGCCTGTACAGTCCCTAAATCTTCCGAGGGGGACTAATCAAGCTCATTCACAGAGCAAGCAAGGCTCCCTTCTCGAGCATCGATGAGGACCGAGACTAAGGCTGGCAGGGGAGGTTCGTTTGGGTGAAAATCGAACACGCCCCGAACCTGGGAACGAGACTGGCACCCAGTGCCTCACCTATCCTTGCGTACCAACTTGCGACTAAGGAACTCTGAACATGTGATGTCATACTTTGGCCATGGGCCACATTGCAAGACAACTGCGAATGCTGACTAAATATCAATATAAAGCTGGGCCGACAAGGCCGTCATAATTATTGCAGCTGACAAACCAACCAAATATACATACAAGGCTTACAAGCCCAACATATTGCACTAACTGACAAGATATGTCTATAAGCCTCTACTGATGGATATACTGTGATCGGAACAGCTTCTCGACCTACCCATAACATGTATACATATATATACAAGATATACATAAGGTTCTAGACCCGACAACTCCGAAAGGCATGGAGCTTACCAATAAAGCTGAACTCGAGCAACACTTAATGAGGAGGCCTACCCTTCTTTCTGTCTGAACCTGCACGCATGAAATGTAGCGCCCCCAGAAAAGGGACGTCAATACGAAATAATGTACCGAGTATGTAAGGCAATATACTGAAAGTTAAAACTGAACTGATAATATAGTAACTGCAAGTAGCTGGAAGTTAAAGATAATCTGAAGATATGCTTACCTGCTGATACTGACTCAACTCTCTCAATATAGTAAGTAAAATAGATGTCCGGCCCTATAAAGCTCGGTATATATATATATATATATATAAATAATTGCTCTGCCGTAGTACGCTCGCTCATAGGCGCTCGGCCATACTAGGCTCTGTATCTCGACCAACTGGGCTCGCTCATAGGCGCTCGACCACATTAGGATCGGTATATAACTTACCATCTGATCAGAGGTTGCCTAATTGGGGCCTGCCCATTGATTATAGCTTGATGGTAATGAAAATACTATAATACTATATATATAGACTCTCTGCTCTCTTGACCGGAAGAAGGAAATACTCAATTGAATACTATACTTACAAGGCTAGGAAAAATATACGTAAATTCCGGGATATGAATTTTTCTTTATGTTTTGTTATCAAACTCGTGTAATTACGAGATTATGCAAAATGAAGGAAGAGCTTAGACTTAACATACCTGGAGTAGGAAAAATTCTGTACGATATTCTTGGAAAAGGTTGCACCGTACTCCATTAGAATCGCAAAATTTTTACGTTGCTAAGACTTTAATAATTTTTGTTGGATTTTTTTAGGAATTGATTGCAAGGAAAATGGCCAATGTTTACTTCTGATTGTGAGGTCTTTGGTATTGAAAATATTAGGAATGAGGTTTAGGATTGATTGTAGTATGGTTTTGGTTTTGAAAGATCTTTGGAATTGAAGTGATTTGGGTAACACTTCACATTATTGAAGTGTTTTGGTCACACATCCTTTTGCCATCTATCAAGAGTGACTAAGAGTCATCTCTTTATGAAGTGGCATGCTGCCACGTGGGGATGGGGGTGGGAAATTTAATCTTTATCCACTTATTAATTAATTAGGTAATGTCCCGTAACCCGATAATTAACCAATTACTCGCATAATTAAAAATTATCTCAATTTACTTAAAATACTACTCATTTCTCACATATCTTATACACCTTACTATCATGGTCATGTGGTACCTTGTATGCCACTAATCTATAAATATCAGGTATTATTGCTCCGCCCGTATTTTATCCCAACATGCCAAACTTGGACGAAAATTAATTTTCCTTGACTTGCTTCCCCTCTCACCTTCACGAATTTACTCATCACTTGTTTGAAATAACATAATCCTTATAATCTCCAAATAATCTTTACCTTGGACTGATGTCAATTACCTTACGACAAATTCAACGTACAATACTACAGGGTGCAACATCGTCGTAATTTAATACTACGAAGGGTAACATCATCGTAATGTAATACTGCAGGACGAAATATCAACGTAATGTTGCGGGGCGTAACACCAAAGACCTGATTCCCCCGAGTTTCTACCGTTTCCCGAGGAGTAGAACGCATCCCGTAAGTATTGTCTTTATTGGGTATTTCTTTCTTTTTATTCTTTCTCTCGTTGCCTATATTTGCGATCGTGCAGCTATTGCCGAGTTCCTGATGTAATCCCCCGGTTCAAGGAGTGGATCGAAGGGATCTGCAAGCAGATGTCGTACTCCGAGTGCGCATGCATGGCGGAAACTTTCCAAGGGCAAATGGGCTCATGGTGAGGTACTTCCCTGAATAGTTATCACCACGCTCTTAACATACACATTGCTAACCTTTTCTCTTTTCTTACAGGTCGGCCTAAGACCACCAAACTTAAGCCGCTGGATGAGGATGAGGAACCGTTCTTACTTGCCAAACCCTCCGTTTTGGGGCAGCCCAGGGCTACCGTGAAGAAGAAGAAGAAGAGAGTGGCCACAAGGGTCCAGAATCCCAAGAATAGCACTAAGTCCAGGGTACCGGACCCTGATTCTCTCTACCGGCTCAGGGACGAGCTCGAAGATGACGACCTCTTCGTTGCTCATGGGTCGAACCTTAATGAGGGGGAGCAGGTGACGACCGAGAAAGAGGCCCACGAGGTCGATCCCCCTCTAACTTGGGAACCAGAGGGGGAGATGGAGGCTGCAGCCTCCCAAGAAGCCACTCATGTTCCGAAGGAGGCGACTGGTGTAATTGACATCGTGGAGACACCCTCCTATACCGAGTCCATTCTCGAAGAGGCCCAAGTGGGCAAAAAGAAGTCAAGTGAGGGAGCACAGGGTCCAGATGATGCCCTCAACACGTTTTTCGATGGCATGAACATGGCCGCTCTAGAGCATTTATCCGGGCTTTGTCACCTGGAGGTACTGAAAAAGGACGTGCCCTCGGGAGCTGGGGGTCCCGAAGGCTCCGAGGGTTCCGAGGGCTTTGAAGGATCCGACAGTTCTGGCGACGAGTCGGGCCCTGGTGAAGACCAGGTGTAGATGCCTTAGTATTTTTTCAGTTTTTTTTCTTATGTATTTTTTTTTGTTTAATTTAAGGCCGCTCTATTGGGCCCTTGTAAATATATTTTGGAATATGATATGAAAATTTTCCCTTTCTGAAAATATCGTGTCTTTACTTTTCCAGTATCTTCTTGCAATTCCTATTTGCGTATTGTTTTTGATGCCTTAGCATAGAATCATATGTAGTTTTGGGGCATTCGTTTTTCGGAGGTTCGAACGAAGCCCGACTTCGATGCAACTTTGTTTGCTTGTGACTTCGAGCCCTCGGTGAGACCGGAGGTTTTCAAGACGCTTAACTATTTCCAGACGATATTTCTGCCGAGGGTAACCTTTTAATAGGTTTCTAATTTTCGTAAGGGCCTTACTTTCTGGTTAAGGACTTCGGACGTCTCCGAGCCATTTATAGGTTGGCTGTAGCCTTTTATATTAGGGCACCCTAATACGTTTGGTGCCTCCGGGATTCGGTAGCCGGTGTCGATTGAATTTTCACCGGGTGACAGTCCCCGAGTAGGGGTAGCCCGTGGGCTCGATAGTCCCCGAGTAGGGGTAGCCCGTGCGCTCGATAGTCTCCGAGTAGGGGTAGCCCGTGAGCTCGATAGTCCCCAAGTAGGGGTAGCCCGTGGGCTTTAGGATCCAAGATCGAAGAAGCAAAGGCGCATAGTAACAAAGTGTAAGGTAAGTGGAAATTTCTTTCATTTCTTAGTATGCAAGGTACATGATTGAAGGTGCATAAAAACTTGTGCCATGGCTAGAGTAGACTATGTGGGCACGGTTCATACGACCGTTTCGCCCTTACAATGAATCCTAACCACTAAGCCTTAACTTTTAGCACATAAAATTTTCTTTTTCCCTTCCTAAGGTAGTGGCCCCCAGTATTCGAGATCTGACTCGTGAGGGCTCGGATACTGTTGACCTGAAGCAAACGATCATTGATTCCAGTCCGAAACCAATCTTCAAATCTAAGGTAGCACGTTTTACTGTTGCCTCGTTAAAAGCCTTGCCGAAAAACCCACTTCAAGGGTAAAATCGGTTCAAGGGAAAAAGAGTGCAACATTTACTTTCGGACCTAATAGCCACATCCGTCCTTGGCCGATTACTTGCATAGATTAGTCCAATTTATAACATGATTAAAAAGTGATTGAGTTTGTACCTTAGCAGTAGTATTGCTTTAAGTGTCCTAATAGCCACATCCGTCCTTGGCCGATTACTGCATAGATTAGTCCAATTTATAACATGATTAAAAAGTGATTGAGTTTGTACCTATTGCTTTAAGTGTGTCACATTCCACTTGTTCTGTAGTTATATGGTGGGGGGCTCGAACTCGACACCTCCGGTTAGGATGAAGGACTACTCACCAATCCACCACACCCTTGTTGTTGGCTCTTTAATTACTACTAATATGTAACCCAATCACCACCGTGATATCCAATTAGGTACAAATATCAGGGCCCTTTATGCCTCGTGCGGCCATGTCTTCTTCCGTTTTCTTCATGAAATCGGGGCTCTATCCCCATTTTACCCGTGTACAAACCCCTCCCTCCTCCCCCTCCCCCGGTCTTCCCTATGAAATTTACTATAGACTGGGAAAAAATAATCAACGACGACGAAGACCCTCCGGCGGAGCTTGTGGTTACATCCGCCATGGACGGAGAGGAGCACAAAGAAGTACTTTCCAACTTATCAAATACCGAATTGACCGAAAAAATTAGGAGGCTTAAAAGGTCTCTGTCCGGCACCATTGGTGCTAGGTTACGCGATGGAGGTGAAAAGCTTAGGGCAAATATCAAACTGCACGAGGGTGAATTAGAACGACGGCAGCAGGTCGGTTCCCAAAAGGTTTGACTTTGACTTTTATTCTGTTCCTCTTTGGTTAATTTCACAGTTCCATCTCTATCATTGTGTGCTTGTAGGTATTTTCGTGCTTGTGCATTCACTACATTTCGTAAAATTTTAATCATGAGAGTAATTTACTAGAATGCTATTTTTTGTTTTACACTCAGCTGCACAAGAGAAAATAGTGATTGAATTGCTGTACTTAATGTCTCGGTACCAGGGGCGGATTTAGGGGGGCGGAAGGGGATTCACCCGAACCCCCTTCGCCGAAAAATTACACTGTATATATAAGGCAAAATCTGTTTTTTAGCTCTATATATTAAGTTTTGAACCCCCTTAACACAGCCCAAAAGTGTAGCTTAGTGGTCAAGGGGTCCAAAATCTTACTAAGGTCATAGGTTCAATTCCCACTAGTTATAATTTTTTTTTTGAACCTCCTTCTTGGAGATCCTGCCAGTGTTATCAAAGGCGCGCTTAAAGCGTGCTTAAGCCCTGAAGCGAAGCTCAAAACATATTGAGCGCTTTGCCTCGTTTAGTGGGCGCTTCAACATTGTCATCAAAGCTCTAAGGCATACTTTTCCTTGTCAATGAACATAATCCTGAAGAGGCCATATTAAATCATTGATATTTCACTTTATTGTAATTTTTCTTCAATTTCTTAGTCCATATATTTGGTATTCATGCTTATAGATATTAGTTTTGGACTACACATACATATTTGTAATTTTTCTCCATTTGCGCCTTTCTTCGTTAAGCCCATGCTTTATTTGCGCTTTGCGCTTAAAGCTCCAACATACATTAGAGCTTTTTTGCGCTTTTCACCTTTAATAACACTGGATCCTGCCTCCGCCACTGCTCGGTACAGTTTGGAAAAGTATGAACGAGGAGCAGTGTGATTGTGAGCTATGTAGACCATTTCGTGCAAACTGTGGGATTTGTTTTTGATTAAAACAGTCTCTACGAGCTAGTGTTGGAAAGTTCAGTATTTTTATTCAACATTTTGGTAAGGAACGCAGTGATGCAGATCACTCAGTGTTTTACTCATATTTCACCAGGTTAATGTGCTTATGCGGTGGTGTATGCAGACAACATAGTTATTAGACTCATTACCAAAGATGACTGAGAAAATCATCCGGTTAAAGAAACATCTTGACGGACATTTCAAGCTGTAAAATAGAGAGAGGATTGAGCAATTTCATTGTATATTATGTCAAGTTGTAACAAGTATATATACAAGTACATAGCGTCCTAACTGTAGAAAGAATAAAAAAGGAGATCCTATAGATTTGTTGTTAATTCCTATAACTTTGCTATGTTCCTTACATAAGAGTATGTATACGTTCATTAAGTAACAGAATATGTCTACGTTCATTATGAAACACTCCCCCTCAAGGTGGAGCATAAATATTGATCATGCCCAACTTGTTATGAAGGTAATCAACTCGAATTCCATTCAATGCCTTTGTGAACTAATCAGCTGGTTTGTCTCCTATCTTCACGTAGGTAGTGGAGATCAAGTTCTCTAGAATCTTCTCACGAATGAAATTGCAGTCAACCTCAATATGCTTAGTTCTTTCATGATACACCGAATTTGACGCAATATGGAGGACAACTTGATTGTCATACCTGAGTTTCAGTCAAAAGATGATGTATCCACATAATTTCACGCGTAGACTGTGACAAGCTCTGATCGAGATACAACACTTTGCTTCTTACTCCTCCAAGATACCAGGTTCCCTCCAACAAAGACACAATAGCATGTAGTTGATCTTCTACCAATTTTGGATCTAGCCAAGTCAGCATCTGCAAAACACTCAATACGAGTGTGGCCGTGATTGCTATATAATATGCCTAGTCTAGGAGCTCATTTCAAGTAACATAAAATCTGTTCCAAAGCTACCCAATGTTTGACCGTTAGTGCAGACATGAACGGACTAATAACACTTACCACAAAAGTAATATCTGGACGAGTCACACTGAGGTAGTTTAATTTCCCAACTAACTTCCTGTATCTCTGGATCATCAAAAGGATCGCCATCATCTTTCATAAGATGCACATCAGGAACCATTGGAGTACTGCTGGATTTAGCTGCCAACTTTCTAGTTTCTGCAATCAAGTCAAGAATATACTTTCTCTGAGACAAAAGAATTCCCTTCTTGCTTCTATTTACTTCTACTTACAAAAAGTATTTCAATATGCCCAAGTCCTTTGTAGGAAACCTAGTATGCAGGAAAGACTTGAGGGAAGAGATCCCCGCATAGTCACTTCCTGTGATAACAATGTCATCAACATACACAACGAGGAGAATAATGCCAGCTGTTGATTGCCGATAGAAGACTGAATGATCACACTTGCTCATATTCAGCCCAAACTCCTGAACTACTTCACTGAACTTGCCAAACCAAGCTCGAGGACTCTGCTTCAAGCCATATAAGGACTTCTTCAAATGACAGACTTTCCCATACTCTCCCCGAGCAACAAAACTGGATGTTTGCTCCATATACACTTCCTTTTGAAGGTTACCATAGAGGAACGCATTCTTGATATCTAACTGATGTAAAGACCAATTTTCGGAAGCAACTAGAGAAATTCATCCCGAGGCCCTCGGGACCTCAACCAAAAATACCAACAAGTCATATACCACTATTCAAACTTATTCAAACCTTCGCATCAAAACACCAAATCACCCTCGGATTCAAGCCTAAGAACCTCTAAACTTCCGAATTCCGCAAACGATGGCGAAACCTATCAAACCTCGTCCGAATGACCTGAAATTTTGCACACACGTCACAAATGACACTACGGACCTACTCCAATTTCCAGAATTTCATTCCGACCCCGATATCAGAATTTCCACTGCCGACCGAGAAATGCCAATTTCGCCAATTCAAGCCTAAATCTAACACGGACCTCCAAATTACATTCCGAAAACGCTTCTAAGTCCAAAATCACCTAAAAGGAGCTAACCGAACCGTCAGAATTCACATCCGAGATCATCTACTCGTAAGTCAACATCCAGTTGACTTTTCCAATTTAACTTCAAAATAGGAGACTAAGTGTTTCATTTCTCTCCAAAATCACTCTGAATCCGAACCAACCAACCCGATACCACACAACACAAGCTGAACAACACATAAAGAAGCAGAAATGGGGAAAACAGGGCTATAACTCATGAAACAACCGGCCGGGTCGTTGCACTTCCTCTCAGCAACTTCATTTTGGGATGGTGTATCAACACATCAAGACTGATGTAGTATACTGTGCTGTGTCATGTAGGACTGAAATAACTCTGACATGTATTCTTTAGCGTTATCACTCCTTAGAATACGCACCTAAGTGTTGAATTGAGCTTCAAAAAGCATCAAAATTTTCGGTGCTTTACTATGTGCCCTTCATCTTTTTGTTTCATTTTTATCATTTTTTCTACTTAATTCTAATGGGATGTATAGGAGCTTTGCTCTATCTAAATTTCCATGCTTCCATATAGTGCTGAAGCTCCCACATGAATAAAGAGCACACATCCCGCCTAAGCCTAGTGTGTCCACCCCCCATCTTGAAGATATTTTAGTTTTCTCTAGGTATTCTGCAAGTTTCTTCATACAATCAGAATTTGTTGTGGATTTGTGTGCATGTGCATGGACAACTATGCGGAAATCAAAATTGTCTTATTTGTCATTTTAAGTTGCTTTACTCAAGTTATTACTCAAAAAGGACAGCCTGAAAGTTGGATGCGACTTGATACTTGATAGGTGCACCTGATGACTTCAAGCCACAGGCTTCACCATCTGTATCCTCTCCGCAGTCCACGTTTGCTGCTTGTTTCTTGAACAAGTTGGAAGCAAAAGTACAATATCAATCTTATATTCATTTTTCTTCTGCTTGGAGTTACCATTAATTTATTTTTATTTTGTTTATTGATTAGCAGGCAGATTCTAAGACAGTCAATGCTTTCAAAAAAGAAATATACGCTCTGAATCCCTGTGACCACAAAAGGACATTAAACAGGCAGTTTTCACAAAGAAAATGCAAGCGAGAGTTGTTGTCACAGGAAGAACCTTATAAGTTTCCTGTAGACAAAGGTGAAACCGTTTTAAATATTGATCTAAAGGGAAGGGACTCTTCTACTCCTTGTTATTCTGAAGAAAAAATTGCCAGCTGTTTCTCGAAGAAGTATGTGTCCTTTTTTTTTTTGGTTTCTTCTATTTCACTTAAATTTCTTAGATGATTTTTCTGTTATATTACTTTATTGTTGCTTTTATTATCTTGGTTATTACTGGAAGCTGTCACTATTAATTAGGGTAATTGAATAAGGTTTCATTGTGAAATATAGGTCCTCTAAACTTTAGTATAGAGCAATGGAAGTTTCAAAGCTGCTGCTGTTTTTACTTTGTAAGTTATGTACTGCTGTGAAATATGTAGAGGAGTCGTGTCAAAGTATTCTGTTTTAAGAAGGTGGACAATGTTTTCGGATGGCCCAAACTAGAAATCTGAACTTTCAGTTTGAGATATGAAGTATTAAATATGACTTCATTTATTTTCAGCAGTTGTACTTGCGGAGTCGTTGCAGAGTGACATGCACAATAGCATATGGGTGTAGAAATGGTTTGATATATCTCGCAGAACAATGTTCATTTCTATGATTATGTGATTGCATAGTAGCTACCAGATCTGATCTCTGTAGTTCTTATTCTGCTACCATCCTTGTCCATTTTAGTTACACTCTGTCTGCAGCAAGTTTAAAATGAATTGTAATTTCTAATTTGAGAGTCATAGGTCCTTTACAACACAAACCATTAGGTTCCTTAAAATTTATAGCTAAACAACTGGTGAGAGGTAGCAGAAACCCATTGGAATAGTTGAGGTGCGCAAGCTGGCACAGACTCCATCGTCATGGAAAAAGAAGTTATTGCCAAGCAATTAGAAAAAGGAGGAAAAATTTGCTGTAGCCTAATCTCTGATCTTGCTATCACTTTTGTATACTGATATTTCTTAGTCTGTTTCATTCAGCAATCTTTCTGGATAATACTCCTTATCTTTGATCTCCCTACCCTTTTCTACACTGATATTGCTTATTCAGTTTCATTCAACAATATTTGTGGACAGTACTTCTTTCTTCTTAACTGCATAAAATTCTCTCGAGTTTGATCTGTAAAACATGCTCATTTAAATGTTATTATCAGAGAACTAGAGCTACACGATTAAATGCCCAAATTTAGAAATGATATTTTGGTGCACGAATATGATAAGGTGGATTAAAAGTACCCCCGACTCTTGTGAGGAGATTCTTACAAGTGGATTGGTGAAGAATTTATTCTGAGGTGATTGGGGGTTATTGTTTTCAGATGATCGTGAAAGAGATTTAACAAATTCTTTTTATCTTACTAACCTAATTCTTGTTTGATTATGGTAACATGGTGACGTTGGAGATGGAGTTTGTGTTCCACTTAATAAAATGTAATTCTATGCCTTACTAGGGAACGATAGGATATCACATAGGAATGCTGATCCTGCATCATCATGTGATTGCTTATCCGTTCATTAGACCAGATGGGTTATTCACCTACGCATCAGACGCCAATTAGGGTTCATTATCTGAATCCCCCAAAAAATGAACCAAGGTGTGGTTAAGAGGTAGGAGGGATTGTACTCCCCCTTATACAATACCTTATCGAGCCAAAATTGTGCTGAGAGAATGTGCACTTTTTCATGTGCGTTTGAATGACTCACTTCTTTGTCATTCTTCCCTTTGTTCCCTATTTTTTCTTTTTTTTTTCTACTTGAATTCCAAAGTTACTAGGGAGATCATTGGTCATGATATTACTCCTTCTATCCCATTTTATGTGACAGTGTTTGTCTTTGGAGTTTGAGAAAGAAAGAAAGACTTTCAAAATTTATGGTCTAAAACAAGTCAGACATTTGTGTGGCTAAAAATCATCTCACTAAGGGTAAAACACGGAGTTTATAATTGAATTTTTTTAAAGATAGAAATGTGCTATTTTTTTTGGTACAGTCTAAAATGGAAAGTGTGTCCATAGAATGAGACAGAGGGAGTAATTGATATTCTAAAGAAGCACATGCGATCTTCAAGTTATCATTGAGACATTATTTGTAGTACTTGTTTGCTTAAAAAACCATGCATGAGCCATGTATTTTTTACTTTTTATGATTATTCGTTTGGTTTCCTGCCTCCCCTTGGCTGCTATTTGTACCTATTACTGTGTTATAAATAATAAAACAAACTAGTGATTTGACCTTTTTCTTTTTCAGGACTAAAGCCTCTCAAGCCCAATCTTCACATACTAAAAGGCATGCATATGTAAGGTTTCCCCCATATCTTTGTTATCCCATTCCAGCTTACTTCCGTCTAGGCATGGTACTACTTCTTCGTCACTATATTGGGAGCTGCTATTGGTTTCTGACAACATCTTTAAGTCCTTTGGTGGATTAGCAATATCTACATACTAAAGACTGCTCAAATGGTTGTTCCAGTGCATATATTCTGATTTTTTCTGTTCTAGAGCAATTCTTGGCTGAGCTGTAAGAGTTCCTGTGGCATTGGGGGCTTAAATTCATTGGCGCATGGGTTGACTGATTGTTGGCGTACGTTTGTCTGGCACAATAGCGTTTTATCCATGATCGAACCAACAACAACCAAAACTACCTCTTTCTTTCTCTCATTTTCTTTCCTCCCTCACGAGGTGGGGTTGGCTAATTGCAGTAGGTACACATTGATTGATGAGCTTATTATTACTTAAACCGCTTAGTCCCTCCGTATTCTTCTTGTTTCAGTAGTCCTTAGAAGTTTGCTAGGGTATATGATCCAAAAGTAGGAAAAATAAGAAAAAAGAAAGTTTGCTAAGACATTGCAGAGGGACATGATGAATTGCTGAAGCCTCTCGTGCTTTATTTGTTCTTTTTTCCCCAAATACAGTTCATTCTCTTGGAAGTCGTGAGCTTATATTTTTTTTCCTAATCTGGTCTTTCTTGTCTTATGGTTCTTTATTTCCCTAGGGGGAGGCTGTTGTTCTAGTGGATGAGGAGGAACCTGATGCAAATAAAGCGGAAGAGCGAGTGGACGAAGTTGTTGAATGGTAATATATTAGTATGTTTATTCTCACAATAACATATCAGCTCCTGATTTGAGTTTTAGCGAGCCAGCAATTGTTGATATTTCTTATTTTCCTCTTTTTCCAGCAGAAATGCAACCAAGATCTACTATCCTTCACGGTATGGCGTGAATCACAACCTTACTAATCCACTATGCGTTACTTGGGTGTACCATTTCTCTTTTATATGCTTAGTGTTTCTTTACTGTTTTTACCATTCAAATAGGGTTGATCCTGAATCAGTTGAAATTTGTTGTTCGGACATGGAATCTCTTGCACCTGAAGCATATTTATCATCGACTATAATGAATTTCTACATCCGGTAAGTTACAAAAAGATTTTGTCTAGTAGTTACTTCGTTGATCAATGAATAGATAGATTAGACATCTACTGGGAATAGGTTGCTTCAGATATGCCCTAAGAAAAAGGAAAAAAGAAAGAAATTATGGAATAATCGATGTAAGTGCCAAAGAAAATAACCACCTTTTGAACATAGAGCTTTTTTCTAACTTGCTGTTTCTCATTACAGCAATTTCTAGTATAATGTCTATTATAGAGCTTAGCTATGTTGGTGTGTGTCTGCATATGCATATACAAACACAGTCATGTAATATTGATTTTTCATTTCTCTGAAATCTTATGTTTGAATTTGATGGGTATCACAGTAATATTGTTTTGCCTTTTCCAACATCAGCAATCATTTAATACTATTGCTAGTTAGCCGCCTGAATTTTTTTATGGTATACTAATAATTACCTACTAATTAATAACTAATTTAAATTGCTTACGAACTTAATTTTAGGGAGCTGTTTTATATAGCTTTTCACTTTCTGTCTTCATAGAAAAAAATTGACTTCTGGAATGCATGAATTTGGTGAACACTTGCATTATTGTTAGTTGTGTTTCCAATCTGTCATAGCATTTTAATATCATAGATGTAGCTGCTTATTAAAAAAAGATACTAGTATACTTACCCGCGCGATGCGCGGATTGTTTCAAACAAAAAAGAGCAGAGAGAGATATTAGAAACAGATGTATAATGCAGACTAAATTTATTGACTGCATTAAAAAGAAATTAAACCAAAAGACAAATAGGTGAATTCTATCGGGATGTCTCTATAAATTTGTTGCTAGGGACCACCAATCTCCAAGAGGTGTTACAACATACTTGAGAAATGATACATCAATTCTTGGTTTTAAAAGGTAGTCCACATGAAAATGCATAAATTTTTGACTCAAGTACAAACATAAAGGACATTACATTTGGTTCAAATCTTATTCCAGCTCCAGTCACAAACGAAGGTTAATCTGGGTGCACCAACTTGCACAAAATTCTATTTTAAGTAGCTCCAACAGAAACCACAGTGATTTTAATCTTGATCACCTCCCATCCTTCAAAGTAGGCCCACACGCAGCAAATAGAACCTGTGCAATAGCAAATATGATGGTTAAAAAATGACATGGAAAAATCATCCCTCGAGATATACTCAAGTCCAGAATAGGACACTACAATTTTCTTAAGAAATCAAGTAATAATCAACAAAAATATTGTACCTCTAATCAATGGTTTAACACAAAAATAAAAATACCAATACTAAAGAGATAAGTTTGATTAGATTTTTATTTAATTTTGGCTATTTACATTTTTTCCAAAACGAATACATTTACTTTTTATGATAACTCACATTTTACCTAAAGTCTATATTGTCAATCAATAAGAGCATAGTCTAAATATTAAATGATCAGTGCTACGTAAACGTTTCAATAACCAAAGTCTTCTGAATATCTCATCCAATTTGAGGAATATCTTGCTCTTTTTTCTCGTCGAGAGAAAGGAACTCACAGGCGTCGATCACTAAATCATTATTGAATCCGACAATATTTTATCATGCCAAACACCTCGTCCAAGCACACGCATTGGCTGCTCTCTATCAAAGCATCTGCAATCCTTCCGATATTTGCAGCAATGACACTCATCATATCGACTAAAGTATTGTCATTGCACCTCCTCTTCGTGGGTTGCTTTGAACGCGACGATGAAGAAGGCGTTGCTCTGAGATAAATCTTATATACTGCCATCACATGTATTGTCCACGCTGGTTTAATCCATTTGAAGAATTGGTGCCAAAGATGACATGCAACTTATCAATATTCTCAATGTGTTTTCCCTTCATGAATTTGACATCAATATTAGGCTGAGAAACACCTAAAAAGTACAAAGTTTAGGTTGCTAATATAATGACAATAATAAATCGTAGACAAACTTCCATTAGTGAGCATATTTTCAGGCACGAATTTATACTCGTAAAAAAAGTAGTTATTTTTTGATTTGTTGAAGCAAAATAACACTCCAAATACAATCTGATTCTCTAAACTAAAGTCATCACATTGAGCTCCTACAGATAAAAACAACATCAACTGACATTTGAATCCTTTACAATAACATAGCTAATAGATCTCTAGTTATTGTAACATATTCAAGGTCTATAATATTATAAGGCAAGCCGGAAAGGGAGAAGAGAGAGGAATGACAATAAGGTAAAGATGCAACGACTGATGGTTTGATGAAATGTTTGATTGTTTGAAAAAATGTTTTGTACACAAACCTTATAGTACTTAAAGGACCATCAACTTGAATTGGCACTCAAACTGTATCTCCATGACTCATACTCAGGCATGGTAAAAAATAACAGTATCTTCTCACTTTAATGAGTAGCCTGCAAAATAACAATGCAGACTAATGTATTTACTACTTCTGTACATGATTGAGGTACTTTGGCTATTTAAGAAAAGGTAAAAAATTCACCATCACAATTGGTGTGATGAACTTTACCAAGAAAGAAAGGAACTTTTCGCAGGGATGGTCAAAAAGTATGGATGAAATTAATTAAAAGACCTATTGCTCTAAATGAAGATGTAATATGCGTAGATAAATTGAATGACATCAGTAACCAAAACCTAATGTGAACCAGCAAATGGCCTTGAAAATAGACTATGTATACAACAACAAAAAAAAAGAGTGTGAAGTAAATTAAGCAAAGAACAATGTAAGGAAGGTGTTGCAACACTGTAAGTAATAAGTATAGGTGAAACAAAGTAAACTTGATTGTACTTCTGACAAATACTTCAGCATACACAGGGCAAAGGCAGCCCAACATATAAACCTTATTGCCCGTAAGCTTACTCTTTGAACTCAAGAGATATACATGTATATACTATATAGAAGAAAAAAATATATTTAAAAATCTACATATATATTTAAAAATCTACATATATATATATATTTATTAACTGGTTGAACATCTTCAGAAAAATAAACTAACCTTGCAATGTTCCCATTAATTGTCCAACATGCAACTTAAAACACCTTATACTGATAATAGAAAAGTCGCATATAAAATGCCAATTACATATCAAGAATAGAAGATAAAATAATTAAGAAAAAGTAATTTAATAGAAGCGTAGCGTTAAATATTAGACATGCATAAAGAATTGGCATTTTTTTCAAGGATTCAGGACATCAGAAACTTATCATTTTGGGAATGTCAACCAATAATTCTAATGGACTATATAAGCTTGTGAGATTGAAGTCTTCACGAAAACAAACCTGAATTTCCATTAACCATTTTATGGGTCATAAGAGCACAAGTGTTTTGATAGATGCCAGTGGCACAAACCTAAAGCACAAGTTGAACCCGCCATACCACCATTATTCGCATGAAAGAGAAACATAAAGCCAAATTCTTTGACCCTTCCTGACATATATCAACTATTTTTCTAAATAATTTTGGACAATTTACTTTTAGCTCATCCTCTTTAGCAGGAGAGGAAAACTTTTGCAAAATGACTAATGTCAGGCTTGCTCATATCATACGGTGAAAGAATTAGATATATGAACTTAATGACCAGAAACCTTAAAAAAATGTCTCTATGTATTCATTAATCTCTGGTTTATAGCTCTGAGGAGCCAAGCTACAAAAGTTCATCCGTTGCTTCTCTCATTAGGTCAATAACTCGGTTGTATCAAGGTTAATCCTTTATCATAATTCCATGACACTATCCAAGATAGCTTTCTCCATTGTCTCTCTAAATTTGTCCTGTAAAGGTCATAGGTTATCATAGCAGTAAAATCAAATAAAATTTCTTATGTCCCTTATAGTTTTAGGAGCATAACTAAATTCTGCTATATTTTAGTAAATCAAGATGTAAGAAAGTTTATCCGCCTTATTACTATGAATAGCTAATGTTGACTTTAATGACTGCTGATGCAATCTCGCAGCTTCATCGACTACAATTTTTAGCATAAACACTCACATGACCTCCTGTTTGTTAGCCGGAAATTGAAAGAAATAAGCACATCATACTACAAATCATGTATTTAATCATCATAGCATCATCAACACAGGTATGCAAATAGAAGAAGTATAGATACAATAACCTACATAGTTCCGGACAATGATATATAGATAAAGAGACATATTAGAATAATCACCCCTAGATGAGAAGTCTTAGCACACAACAAATAATAAAAGTCTAACCATGCTAACTTTTTGTCTTCACTCACATGAGAGAATTGTATTACGAAACAATCCTTCATATTATATAGAGAAAGATCTACTTATTATGGAAAGACAACAAAGGAAAAGGAACCACCAGAACTAACCTTAGACCTTCCTCCAGTAAGATTAAATCCAGCATGTGAGCACATGCAACAACAATTTTGTATTGAATCTTACACACAATGCAAACCATATGAAAGGTAGAATTTTTGCTACATGTGAACTTTTCGGAGTGAACATGTTATGATAATAAGATAGAATTGAGACATTTATCTAATGTTTTGGCAATGCAGTATCACCAACAACTTAAGCAGAAGAAATAAATAAACTTACGAAATTTCTTTCAGATATATCAAATTCCTAGTGTATACATGCGAAATTACCCCACCCTCTATAAGGTATAAGTTATCCCGGTGTTAATTTTAATCCTGGGATAACTTATACCTGGTTTGCTAACCAAACAAAGTATTAAGATGGTATTAAATTTTTATACCAACACTATACTTCTTATACCTCATACCAAACGACCCCTAAGGGTACTACACAAGTAGTTTTACATGGAAAGTTTCATTGAATTAAAAATTGTCGAAAATTTATGAACTATAACAACAGAGAAGAGGAAGTATAAAAAAATCAATTATGAACACGTTACCTCGATTTACTGTTGACTATGATCTTGAGATTATTTTTTTGATCGGTAAACTATGAACTGGAGATCTTCTTGAAGTACAATATATTGCCTTCGAATGCTATACATTCAAAATGTAGTAAATCTAAGACACAACATATCATTATTAAAGTTCTGTACCAAAACGAAAGATGCAATAAATGGAGAGGACTTCTAGATGGCGATGATTACAATTTACAATTAATGTCCAGTCCAAACGGCGTTAAAGGAAATCCAAAGGTTTAACGACGACTACAACATATATATAGGAAATCCAAAGGTTTGACGACGACTACAACATATATATATATATAAAACGTGTGTGTGCGTGTGTGATGAACAAAGCAAAAACTTAAGAAAATTCAATTACCGGGATCTACAGAAAAGAAAATTTGATTTAACGATCCAGAATTTCCCACAACTTTCAAATTTCATTGCCTCGAGTTGCTTGAAATTTTCGGATTTCATGAACTGGTGTAGCCATGCATCTTTGCAATTCAAAATAAGAGAAACCACATACTATTGTTGAATCAACTTGCGGAATACTATTGTTAGCAGAGACCAGGGAATAGAAAGGGAAAGAAGATATCACATAAAACATTATTTGCATAGATAAAAGGCAGTTATGGAATTAGGTTAGTGATGAAGCCCACGTTTGGGATCGTGGGGGTTTTTTTTCTTCTTTTTCCCCGTTTTATGTTTTATTGTAAAAATTTGCAAATCTAATTATTTAGGTATATATTATTAACTTAAAAAGGGGCCTAATCCCAACGTGAAGATAAAAAAAAGGGTCTAATCCCAACGTGAGAGGAATTAACTAATCTTTTTATTACCCAAATTTATTTAATAAATAAATTCGAAAATTCCAAACAAACGTGGGAGGAACTGTGATTTTTTTGTTTGTTTTAACTTGCAGATTTTTAAAATTTAAAATAATTTAAACTCCAACAAAGTTGGAGAATTGTCCTAAATTTAGACACTTGTCAATTTAATATTATCCCACTTGTCATCGTAAGCTTTCTTTGCCTCTCCTTTTATATATAAATAGATATTTGGTGTAGTAATAGCTTGGCACCGGTAAGAGTTGCCCACGTGTGACAAGGAGGTCATGAGTGCAAGCCGTAGAAACAACCTCTTGCAAAATATTACGTATGCTGTGTACAATAGACCCAATGTGGTCCAATCCTTCCTAGGACCTCGAGCATAGAGGGAGCTTAGTGCACTGGAATGCCCTTTTAGCACCCATGCTTGAATCTTGTTTCCTTAATCAAGAGATAATAAAAAAGACTGAAGGCTACCGTTGCTGGTGTACTATTCTTAATTCCTGGCGCAGAGAAATGATTCCTATTAGGTGACTAATATAAATTACATTTGTTTGTAACTGAATTTTCTTTTAATATATCTTTTAAATACTTTCTACTAATGACGTCTTCTATTCTTAACCGTTCCCTTCATATGAATCTATCTTCAATTGGTTGGAGTCACAAATGATCACACAAAAGATAAAAATCATATTAACTAGCATATTAATCATCATGATAGCTTGATATTGTGTTACTGTGTGAACTTCTCTATCAATGAAACATAACCTTGACTTCATGAACTGTGTAACTTTGTCTTAGTAACTAGTAAGTATTGGTGGTCAATTTTTTGGTGTTTCCAGTGAAGGAGTAAGATGAAGCTTGATGCTGACTTTCTCAATCTGTTATACCCTAATTGCATTTTCATGTTTCTAGGTACCTCCAGAAGAAAAAAGCTCATGCAGATGTAGATGAGTATCACTTTTTCAATACATATTTCTACAAGAAGCTCAAAGAGGCTGTACTGAGCAAGGTATTATGTTCCCTCTCAGTTAACATTGTTTCTTGCATGTTTAACTACATTTTGTGCTGTAAGACTTGTAATTTTGTTCTAATTTCCATATTAATAACTATGTTACATCGGCTTGGCTATTAAGTTTAGATTGAATCCTGGTGTGTGGGAGTATCTACTATGGATAAGTTTAGTTTCCTTTCTAATTTTTAGTGTATACTTGAAAAGTTTGCACGAAGTAGCCATGGTATACATGTTTGACATGGATACGTCAAGTCAAATGAAAGTCTTATGTGCTATATTTTAATATTGAACTTGATGGAGTTATCCTAAATGAAGTACTGAACCTTGTTCGCAGCTTCTTTAATTTGGGACAAATATGGAGTTGATATTTGGATTATTTTTAATACACTTGATTGAAGAGAGCATTCGCCTTGTCTTTATTTATTTTTTCTGAAAAGATTAGATATTTAAGGTAAAATGACCAGTAAAAGGCGCTTAGACATTGATTTATTGTTGTTTAACTGTTATGTTTCTCTTATTATTTCTTGTCACGATACTATCATATTGAAGTGTGTAACCATCTCATCTAAAAGGTAAGCTATTAGAGAGCACACCTTTATTTTTCATGGCCAAGCACGTGAAAATTTATATTGCTAATGGGTGGCTGTAAGACTTGATCCTAGGATCTCTGTTTGCTGTAATACCATATTGATGTGTGCGACAATCTCATTAAAAGCTTAAGTTGTTAGATAGAGCAAATTTTGTTTAATCAATCTTCAACACATCTGTATGAACACTCTGAAGACAAAATGTACAGTTGCAGTGAAATGTATGATGCTGGACAACTTATTTGTTTTTAAACTTTCTAGTTGTATATATACTGAATACTAAGGAACTACTTGATACTATTTTCATTTCCTATACTAATTCTTTCAGTGTATCACATCATTCGAATATCGGTAGATCTGAATCTAGTACCTAATTCTCTACAGCAGAATGAAAAGGAAGCTTCATTTTTCAAACTAAGAAGGTGGTGGAAAGGGGTGAATATATTTGAGAAAGCCTATATATTTCTTCCCATACATGAAGAGTAAGTTCGTGGTTTCCTTTACCATGGCATTGGTCTACAAAACTTCAACTTAACTATGCGACTATTGGAGCTTTTGTTACTTGGTTTATTTGTGTTAGGATCTTGTAATTGTTGTGCTTAGCATTTAGAATTAATTAGAGTGATTCATTCTCCCTGTAGTCATGTAATTAAATTGATTGCCTTTCCTAACATGTACTAAACTATTTATCCCCATTTAGTTGAGGCAATAGCATACAGTGAGTTCTCTCTCAATTTCTCTTCTGTCTCACATGGTATCGGAGCACTTAGTGAGAAAATAGTCATTGTAGAAGAGAAAATCCCATTGCCGTCCAATTTTTCGGCAACTACAGCACTTTTTGGAGGTCTCTTTACTTTCCAAGGGTACTGGGCACCAGTAGGATTGGAACACTCGTGCTACCCTATCCAAGAATTGCCGCTGCTGTAGGGTTGTTCACACGCCCTCACGTACCACCACTAGAATTAGATATCCGATATCACGCGCCTCTTGCACCGGTGCATACAGTGTTCTCTTGCCACTTTTCCAGTCACGGTCTTCACACAGTAGGGTTGTCTCTTGATTCCGATCTCAGCCATCCATTTTTCACTAGTTTTGTTGATTGCAATTTTTTCTGGCAAAGTTTCCCGCTACTCTATCACTGTTCAACTTACTTTTCACTAAATTGTGGGTATCCTGCAGGTCGTCCTACCATTCTAGACCCTGAAATCAGTTTTAAGAGCTTTTCGGGCTAGCTGACTACTTTCCCTGCCACTCTTTGTACTGCCTGTATCAGTTTCTTTAGCTTTGGATTTGGGTATGATTTTGATCAAAATATTCATCCTCTTTCTTAGTACATTTCTCCATTTACTTGGCTTTTATTGGAAAATGTCACTTGGACTGGTTGTCTTTTTGCTAACAAACCATGGGATCTAGCAATTCGAATCAACCAGCGAACCTTTGATAGGTAGTGAAAACTACTTATCCTGTCGTTCTTCTGTTCAATTATGGTGCAAGGGAGTCCCGGATCACACTATTAAACAGGCTAAGAGTATTGATGAAAAAGTTCCTATAGAACGGGAAAAGATTCATGTTCAATTGTATAGCTTGTTATGGAAGTACATTAACTCATAGTTGATGCGTTTGTTTCGTCCATTCCAGACCTTTCTTCAGTTTGGGACAAGGCTCGTGCTTTATGCACAGATGGCCTCTCTCACTTGTATTGTGTGATTTCTGGGTTCACTAGCCTTGAAAAGCAGGATTTGGATATGAACAATGAAAATAAGCCGGACTTGGATATGCCTACCTATCTTGGACTAGTTGTCACGACCCAAACTGGAGGGCCATGACTGGTACCTGGGACATACTTGCCGAGCACCAACGTACATTTTATCTATCCTTCCTTATTATCTATAAGGGCCGACGAGATCAACATAAATGGTAGGCATAAATCATGAACAATCAGCTATGATAGATAATGGCATGAACATACATAACATTGGCCGACAAGGGTGTCACGAGGCTATATATAAGGTACGAGCCGACAAGCTGCCATGAAAGACTATACAACAAAAATCAGCCGATAAGGCTATCCAAACTATACATGAGTGAGCACCTGTCTATGAGCCTCTAAAGGAACATAAGTGCTGCAACATTGCCGGAATAGGGCCCCGACATACCTAGAATGTCTATAACAAAAATTCATACCAAGACCACGGCAAGTCCGGAGAAGGGATCTTGTCAATAACCGCTGAACTAGGCAACCTAATGTATATCCAAATTATACATGAGTCGACACCTGTCTATGAGCCTCTAAAGGAACATAAGTGCTGCAACATTGCCGGAACAGAGCCCCGACATACCTAGAATGCCTATAACAAAAATGCATACCAAGACCACGAAGAGGACTCGGTAAAAATGTATCCTACAATCAAAAGGCTCGGTAGAATCGTGCCCGGCCACGTGGAGCTCGGTAAAACCCAACTGATCAGTCGTTGCACAATAGGTGCTGTACCCGGCCGACTATAACGCGGCTCGGTAGAGTAAAATAGATACATATATATAATGCATGCTGCACTCATGCGATCACGTTCTAAACCTTTCGGAGTGACGTAAAGTGGGTAACCTCCGTATATGTTATTAGAGTAACATCAATATCAATCTTTCCATAACAAGGGAAACAATGTAAAGTACTGCTAGCTTCTAAGAGTGGAGTATCTTTGGAAGCTCATTCGTTACATTATGTACAATCGGAGTCGTGCAAAAGAAAGAAAGAGGTAGCCTCACATACCTTGTATATACTGCCCAGCCTCAAGCTATGCAAATCTCACGGCTCCTTAGTCTACAATAAGAGAAATGATACTATCGTTATCGTTTAAGCGTCGTAACTAGTATATATCAATCACAACCTTTTTTACGATGAAACGGACAACACCTCCCCTATTTATATGACTTCCCACAAGTTACAACAATCACCAAACATCCCAAACAACATCAACCATAGCAATAACAACAATATAATCCAATATGAGCTTCTCTGATTATCTTAACAATCATATTGAGCGGCAAGCTCGTTTTTACTAATAACAAAATATAAATTGAATCCAACTCTTATTCCATAAATTAGTTTACAACCTTCAGAATACTTATATGTACTATATGATTCCTAGTTCAAAACATCCGTAAAATGCCTTTCAAAACAGCCCCATACGCCTAACACCTTATCTTTTATCGCCAATCACTTGTTTTTCATGTTTTCTTTTTCAATCAACTTAATTGACACCTAGAAAAGCTTAGCAGCAGCAGCCACAACATTATCAAATTATTTCTCATAATTTCCAGTCACCACAAAACATATATTTAGCCACAAAATAGTCCAACCAAAAAGATAACCATATCCCATGTTCTTTCAAGTGCTATCTTATGGTTTCTCACTCGGAAAAAACAACCAACACAAGAGTAACCTAAGGCACAATCAAGAAGATGTTATACATACCTTGGAAAGCAGCTACAACTCGAAACCCCTATCTCAACTTAGCTCACAATAGCCCACAATCACACCACAACATCAAAGAAGCATTCTCTTGTAGTCTTTAACACTTTTGATGATGATTTGAGTTGATTTTCCTTGAGTTTGGTTCTTGGATCCGGGAGGTATGTTAGATAGGGTTTTGGAGAGTTTTTTGGATGAATTTTGGGTGAGAAATGACCCGAAATGAGGCTGAAACATCTTTTAAAAGAAGTAAGGTCGGTGGCCGTCTCAAGTGGGTCCCAACCGGAGCTGCTTACGCAGTCTCGCGAAACGCGAACCTACTCCGAAGTCGTAACGACGAACGGTTTAATGCATTGGAAACTAGACTCGTAGATCTTCTTTTTAGTGGGTAGATCACCCCGTAATTCCAATTAAATTGGGAGAAAAGCTTAGTAACATTTACCTAAAGTTTAAGTAATATTATGAACTTTTGACGACTTTTGTTTCATAACTCGTTTGACTTCAAGACTTCCAGGTGGATTGATAGTAGCTGTGCGGGTCGTCGCGGTGGAGACTCAAGGTAAACCTGCTACAGCGTTCGCAGGTTTCGGAGTCACCTTCATTTGTATTTATTTCCATTTGCTCCTTTGTTTCGGGGCAGTGATGTATTATTTTGTGTAATTACTCTTAGATAGGCTCGTGACTTGTACCACCGGTTTTGGGAATTTTGATTTATTCAGAGTTGGTTAATTTAAAGTTAGTAAGCATCAACGTTACTTCAGTTTATGTTAGGCTTACCTAGTTTAGAGACTAGGTGCCATCACGACTCCTTCGGAGGGATTTTTGGGTCGTGACAAGTTAATACGAATATTATATGATTCAAATACCTTAAAACACGATCTCCTTAGCATATTAAGCACCTCTAGTTTTACCCGAAAATACGGGTTGTAACATCCTTGATTCGTTTAACTTCTAATACTTGTTAACCACTATTATACACCCTTGTATTATTTAAGACCAATATGATTAACTTCTTATCATCTCAAAGATAATCTCTTCTCAAATTTACGTCCACTAACTTACGCATGATCTAACATATTCGAATATGGATTGTAACACCCTCCCCCTTAGGAACATTCGTCCTCGAATGTAAGGGTTTATGTGGAGTCTAACTCATCGTGGATTCCTGCGGAAATTTCCGGCCAAGTTTCCCCTATCATATGGGCACTAGCCAAACTTGCAAGCAGTTAAAACAAACCTACGGCCTCATAAGGCTATACAAAGCATTATAGATATGTACATTAACTACATATCACCATTTTGTATTAAGGAAGAGTATTCTCAAGCTATTGTTTACCTTATAAAGCCGTTTTAGCTTCCATTGAGTCGTGCGTTCCCCCGACATCCTTGTTATCTTCAATCTGGAATAGGTAAAGGTATTTAGACTTCATCTCCTCTTCTGCTTTCCATGTCATTTCTTCCGTATTCTTGTTCCTCCACAATACTTTGACGGAAGCTACATCCTTTGTTCTCAGCTTGCGGACTTGTCGATCTATTATAGCCACTGGCATATGATAGATCCTCCGTAACTTGTACATCTTTGATAGGGACGACCCGAGAAGGATCTCCAATACATTTCCTCAACATAGATACATAGAATACCGGGTAGACAAATTCCGATTCGGATGGCAATTCTATCTCATAAGCAACCTGTCCAATTCGTCGAAGAATCTTGTACGACCCGATATACCGCAGACTCAGCTTACCCTTCTTCCTAAAACGCATAACACCCTTCATCGGTGAGATCCTTAGGAAAACCCAATCACTAACCTCAAACTCCAGATCACGACGTCGGACATCAGAATAAGCTTTTGCTTGCTTTGCGCCGTCCTCAGCCGTTCTTGTATCACTTTCACCTTCTCAATGGCTTGGTGAATCAAATCTGGCCCATATAATTATGTTTTGCCGACTTCGAACCATCCAACCGGTGATCTACATCTCCTCCCGTACAACGCCTTGTACGGGGCCATTTTAATACTGGAATGGTAGCTATTATTGTAGGCGAATTCTATGAGTGGCGGATGGTCATCCCAATTGCCCTTGAAATCTAGAACACATGCTCGTAGCATATCTTCGAGTGTCTGAATGGTACGTTTAACCTGTCCGTCTGTCTGTGGATGGAATGCAGTGCTGAGATTCATTTGTGTGCCTATACCCTTCTAAAATGACCTCCAAAAGTTAGCCGTAAATTGAGCTCCTCGTTCTGATATAGTTGATACTGTCACACGATGAAACCTAATAATCTCCTTGATATACAGCCTCGCATAATCTTCAGCCGTGTAAGTTGTCTTAACTGGTAGAAAATGGGTAGATTTTGTAAGTTGATCAACTATCATCCAGATGGAGTCAAACTTATGAAAAGAGCGAGGTAATTCGATAATGAAGTCCATATTGATAACCTCCCATTTCCAGGTCATAATCTCTATATTTTGAATCAACCCACCGGGTTTCTGATGCTCGATCTTTACTTGTTGACAATTAGGACACTAGACAACAAATTTTGCAATAACCTTCTTCATGTTGTCCCACCAATACAACTCCTTAACGTCATGATATATCTTTGTCGAGCCGGGATTGATGGAATATCGGGACTGATGAATCTCAATCGTAATCTTCTCTCGCAGCCCTGCCACATTAGGCACACATAATCGGCCCTGATATCTTAATGCCCCATCTTCTCCGATCTCGAAAGCCGTTATCTTATGCTGCTGAATTCCCTCTCTCAGTCGTACTAAGGTAGGGTCTTCATATTGTCGTGCTTTTACCTCGGCTACGATTCTGCCGTATTCTGTACAGTAACACCTCCGTTATCAGAGTCTAACAATCTGATTCTCATTTTGGCCAGCTGACTCTTGGACCGTGGGTCATGGACTCAGGCGCCTCTGATCATATCTCTAGTAATAGGTCACTTTTGTCAAATACTCCCTCCGTTTCAATTTAGATGAGGTAGTTTGACTCGGCGCGGAGTTTAAGAAAAAAGAAGACTTTTGAAACTTGTGGTCTTAAAAACTTAAGGGTAAAAGCTTTGTGGGGCTATGACATTTATGTGGTTATTAAAATGAAGAGTTTAAAGTTGAATTATTTCCAAATTTAGAAATGTATCCTTTATTTTGGAACGGACTAAAAAGAAAAGTACCTCATCTAATTCGAAACGGAGGGAGTATTATTTATTCACAGTATCTTCCTAATGTTACTTTAGCCAATGGGGTCCAGGCAAAAGCAAAAAGAGTTGGCCAAGCTAATCCCTTATCCTCTGTCACTTTAGATTCTATTCTTTATTTCCTTGGCCGTCCTTTTAATCTTGCACCTGTTAGTCGGTTGACTCGTGCCCTCCATTGTGGTATATGCAGGGACCGCAGTACGGGACAGACGATTGGCACAAGGCGTGAATTACAAGGCCGTTACTACCTTGACTCACTCAGTCCCTTCACTGCATGTCCAGTTACAGATCCTCCAAACCTAATTCACAGACATTTAGGACATCCAAGTTTATCCAAGCTTCAAAAGATGGTGCCTAGTTTGTCCAATTTATCTATTTTAGATTGTGAGTCGTGTCAACTTGGGAAACATACTAGAGCTACCTTTCCGCATAGTGTTGAGAGTCGCGTAGAGTATTTTTTCGTTAGTTCATTCTGATGTATGGGGTCCTAGTAGACTCCGTTCAACCTTAGGATATCGTTATTTTCTTAGTTTCATGGATGATTTATTCAAGATGTAAAGTTATAAAGTGCTCAAATAAAGTTCCTTCTCAAAAAAATAAAGTGCTCAAATAAAGTTAAAAACTACTTAAAACAAAGCCAAAAGCAATAAGCTAGGCAACCCCAACTTATTACTTTTTGGCTTAAAAGCTATATCTGCTGAAAAGCCACTTTTGTTAAGCCAATCCAAACGGACTCTTACATGCTCATGTGGAATCTCTTCAGGTGCTATGATGAGTGCTTTAGCTCTTCTGTTTTCCGCTTGGTTATTATGGGGCCAATGCGCCACTTAGATATTCAGAACATGAGTGATGATCCGCATAAGATAAGCAAAATTTTTTGTTGGCTCAAGAAGCAACCGAGAGAGAAAGAGTAGTAAAATAAATACAAGTAGCAGTCTCAGGTCAAAATCTCATCGTGAGACCTAAATATGCCATTCGCTTCGTCAAGAAAGATCGAGCAACGTAGAAGCCTGACTTCAAGCTTAGGTGAGGCTTATTGCAAACAAGGTTCTAGCTCAAATTTTATTGAGTCTAAGAATCTGATGTTAATTGATTTTCGAAATAAGATTTATGTAGTGGAAGCAAATAGATTTTAAACCCGATGCACCATATTCTGTGCCATACAAAAGGACGTCCCTTCCATTCTGGAAAGCTTATATCTATAATAATTTGTGAAGGCTCATTTGTCGACTACTTAATTAGTGAAAGGTAATTATGTAACTGGTTAAGCACATATTTTTTATTAGTATTTACAGCATCACTGCAGCAAGAAGGTGCTGCAAAACTGTTGTATTTACAGCATCACTGCAGCAAGAAGGTGCTGTATAGTTGCTTTACAAAAAATTCATTTGTAGGAAATCTTGAAAAGGCAAAAGTCCTCTATTCCGTTTGTCTCTCCCTGTTTACACAAATGAAAGAGTGCTTTTAGGCACTAATTTTCACAGATGAGGTCCTTCCTTTTTTCCTTTCAAACTCCTTCTGTGGCACTCCAGCTGAATGGTCTATATTAGGCAAAGGGACCCCCTCTCTCTCTCGAAAAAAAAAGAGAAAATTGTTTCTGAGTTTTCGATGATGTCATTCATTTTGCTGTCGCATTGTGGTTAGATTCAGACCAGAGACCATTGTGGCAAGTTTAGAGCATATAACCTGAGCACTTTAGTTTAAAGGAGTGTTGGAATTTCTCTAGGTTCAACAAGCTAACTACTGTATTATTGGAAGGTAGCTAGGAAACTACTCTTTTGATAAGGTATTATAATTTATCGATGATGGATAGATATCTCCATAAAAGTGGTAAATTCCTGAGATCTATTTACCTTTTCTATCTTTTGTCAACTAACTTGAGTTATTAGTTATTTCTCAAAAAAAAATAAAAAAAAAATAAAAGAAAAATTGGAGGTCTTTGTATTCATAGTTGGCAGAGGGATTCATTGACTTTGCTCCAAATTATATTTTTGTCTGTTTTGGCTCATTTTAGATAACTCTCTGTCCTCTTAGACTATTTTCATTGAACTGCTATTGATGTTCCTTTGTTGGTTCTTCTCTTTTGTAGTCTTCATTGGAGCTTGGTTATAATTTGCATACCGGATAAAGAAGACCAACTGGGGCCAATTTTACTTCACTTGGATTCATTAGGGCTCCACTGTAGCAAGTCCCTTTTTGGTACCATAAGAAAGTAAGCTGAACTGCGTTCGTGGCTCTAAAATAATGCGACATCCATGCTACATGATTTACTTCTTGTAAATTGTAGTCTATTATAGTTAATGACTGCAGCTATGACTTGTTTCTGATTTTCCTTAACGATTTCTTAGTCATGATTATATTGCATATGCTCTATGTTGCTGGGACTCGGGTGCAGGTATCCTATACAGGTGCCGGTCTAGAGGTCGGATTCTTCATCACATAAATTTTAGGATTTGGGGGTATGGATCAAAGTGTGGATACGGGTGCCGGGATACGACCAATAAATGTATATTACGAGATATAAAGATTATTTCAATTAGTTAAAGTTATTGAACTAAAAGGCAGAATACATAAGCAGCCCCTTAAACTTGGCCATAATTTTCACTTAGACACTTCAACTGGTTCCTGTACCTATTGAACACCTAAACTCAAATCAAATTGTTCCTATTAGGCACAACTTGCTGACATGACACATAATGTGAGTTACACTGCCATGAAGCGCGTGAAAGATATTATTTTTTGAATTTCTCTTTCTTCTTCTTCCTCTCTCACCTCCACCACCATATGCACCATTGCTCTTTATTTCTCCCTCCCAGCATCACCTTCACAGATTAACGTGACTGAAAATATCAACTATTATAGAGAGAAAAACAACCTTTGGCTAGTAAAAACAGAGAGATTTGAACAGCATCTCACACGGATCTGAGAAAGGAACAAGCATAGATAAAACAAAAGAGGAAATGGGTCGTCGGAAAAGGGTATTCCGGCCGAAGCTCCTTTCTCAGTCAAATTTTCTACTGATTCTCGCTTCTCCAGTGGTGGTTCATTCCCTATCTTTAGATGCAAAGAAAGAAAGAAGATAAAGATCTCTACATGTATAATTAAAATTGATGAATTGGTTAGCATATTAAAAATATTATAACTGAAACACTAGGTAAAATCACAATGATCGACTGAGATTCTTTTGTTGTTGGAGACATTAAATTCTGCTAAAAAGATGGAAAATTATGACAATTACATGAAGAGGCTACGTATTGTTTCATATCCAGACCACTCAACATATGGTACATTTTTAAGATTAATGAGGTCCACTGTTTGAGGTAGAAATGCTAGCATTAAGAAAAAGAAAAAGAAAGCTTCAGTAGTCTATGGAAGAANGGGGGGGGGGGGATCTGTGTTGAAAAAAAATTACTTCAAGAAGTTATAATTTCTAGAGGATTCACTTGAGAAAAGATCAAGGATTAGCAGGTAGATTCGATATGAGATTCATACGGAACTTTTCCAGAAAACGGGTTGTTTCGAAGGTCAAGAATCTCCGATTTCCAGCAGTCGGAACAGGGACTGGTCAAAGGAAAAATATGAATACGAAAAAAGTTTTATTTTTGCGGCTTGTTATAGTTGCCGCATGTCTTTATTTTATTTGTTAATGCCACTTCAGCAGCGTTTGAAGTACACACACTTTGTTATTTTGCTGGAGTGTGTTTAAGGGGTTCAATAGGCGCATTGTATCTGGAGTTTAAGTGCCCAATAGGTACAAACCTCAGTTGAGGTATTCAAGTGAAAATTATTGCCAAGTTAAAGGAGCTGTCTATGTATTTGGCCGAACTAAAACTAATAAAATTTTGTTCTTTATAAACACCTATATTTTATTCATAAGATATCTCGCGCAATAGAAAAGCATTATCATACTTTATATATATATATATATATATATATATATATATATATATATATATATATATATATATATATATATATATATATATATATATATGACATAAACCCAAAAATTAAACCAAATACCCGATCAATCTATACTTCTTGGTCATAGAATGTAGTCAAAGTACCCAAGATAAGTTGACCAAATCCAGTATGGATCCCACACCCATGTCGTGTAGACATGCGGCAGTGATTTTGAAGATTTCTCGCAACATAGCATATGCCGGTACCATTTTGACAAATAACTTCTGAATGTTGGCATTGTATAAGCTAACTTGGCCTATTCGAAGCTTCTTGTTCTATATTCGTCTTGTTTATGATATGCTTCAATATAGTAATAGATAATTAATTACAGCGTGAACTGTAACTGCCTGAGAACTAAAGGGGCATAAAATTTCATTAGCAATCTATTCCCTCTTTGTCGGCTTGTAGCTCAAGTCTTTGTTTCCTTTTCTTTCACCTATATTCTTCAGCCTTGACAGGCTGTTATCTGGACCTTTTAGTTTAGTTGTTTACTGTTATCATACTTATGCTGATCAGAAATGGGTACTTTATCAGGATGATCAAATTGCATGGGAAGTTAGTGACAGTTGTGGGGTTATGTGGAAAAGATATCTATACCAGATGGTAATACTTGAATGGCTATGTTCGTGGTATTCACTTCTTATTGGTGTGAGAAATTGGCAGCGATAAAAATCTGGTTCTTTCAGGGTCTCATACCTTGGATATCAATGTATTTGTATTGCTTGGATATTTCGATTGAGGATCTTTGGTCATTTTATTGTGTTAAAGCTTCACAATCTCAATATTACGATATTGGAGATTTACTCTGTTATTACCATTTTGCTGTTCAAACTTTCAGTAAGATAGCATTTTGAACTGAAAGCTTCTTACACCTGGAGTTTCATTTTAACTCAAAGGAGATGTGGATTTTGTCCTGCAGATTTTTGGAACAAGAATGGAAATTCTTGAGACAAGGAGAAGTGCCAGCTCTTCCTTTTTCAGACAAAATATGGGAAAATCTTCCACGAAGAATAGATGAAAACGTCATTACGGTATTCTTTCATTTGAATCTTATGCTCTTACATCTCTTTCTCGAAGCAGTCTCTGGAATTCTTTTCATACTAGAAGCTATCCTGTCCATTAAATATCTTGTGATATAGGGGGCTTGGCATCATACAGGATATGAGCTTTTGTTATTGGAATTCGTTTCTCATGACCTGGGGCACAGTTGGACGGTTGGACATTCTTTTTAAAGAATCTATATGGCTAATAAATCTGACACGTGTTCTTGTGTTACATCAGAGTTTCAGCAATGAGATATACAGATATCTTAGCTTTTCTGTTGTAGAATTACCATGTTTTAGTTCCTCTAGTTAGTGAATAATTCTTTTCAGCTGTCGGTGTATATACCATTTTGCAGATTTTGTGTGAAAAGAAGTGGTTTCTCTGGTGCAATGAAAAATACTAGCGGCTGCGTTTGTTTGATGATCTTCTTTTTTATGGGTTTTGGTTATCTCAAAATTCTATTTTTTTTTTTACTATACTCGCTTTAGTGTCTTCCTCCTTTTCTTTTTTGTGTTTTTCCTTGGCACCCAAAAATGATATCCTAAAAAATCTTAGTCAACCAGGGGGTGGGGATCTAAAACATTTGCTGAATTCTGGAATCCACTTGAGAATTTTGTGAAATCTGTAGAAGCAAATTTGTGTACATATTTCGTGACTATGTCTACAAGTTCATGAAAACTTCTTTCCTTGCACTTTTCTGGTAACAGGTACCACAACAAAGAAATGAGTATGACTGCGGTCTCTTTGTTCTTTTCTTTATGGAGCGTTTCATGGAAGAAGTTCATGGAAGGCTTAAAAAGAAGGATTTCGTGATGGTAATAAGTTTTGTTTACTGATAGCTTTCTCCAACTTTAGTTCTTGAATATTCGCAGCAGTCCTTAAACTGAAATATTCCTATTGTCAGTTTGGACGAAGGTGGTTCAAACCTGAAGAAGCATCTCGTTTGAGGATGAAAATCCACAACATACTCGAGGAAGAATTCAAGAATGCAAGTGAGGATTGATATTTTTGGGATCCCTACTCTTCACAAGTAGTTGCTTCTGTTTAAAGCATTTCAGTAACAGATTTTTGGCATAGACAAGGAACTGTTAATTACCAAAGGTCATGAAATGCTGCCTTGTTAGCTGCAAAAGGTTGATACTGTCGTCAGTCACATAATTAGGGGTTCTGGAATTGCGGTCTGTATTCTCTGTACATCGAGGTTTCTCACCAAAATCTGGGAAGGAGAAGTATAGCCTTCCCTGTGGGGGGAAGGTACATTGTGTAGAAATCATATTGAGCATCCACCATAAACAAGCAGAGAATTTAGAACTGATATTGACCTTCAGCTGGGAAGGAGAGTCAAATGGTTCATGCCTGGTATTGATCTTTTGTGGTGTTGGTATAGGCAAGGACTGGACAAAGCAAGAAATAGCTGGTGGTGGTATGAAGAGAAAGGAACTCAAGATGTTTTAAAGAGAAGTAAAACCACTCGAGGATTAAGTTAGATTAGCTGAAGCGAGTGACCCCTAAAACCAGAAGCTGCAACAAAGTACATCTAATTAATGTAAGCTCTCTGGATCAGTTTTGTTTTACTTGTACCAACTCAAAACAGTCTCACATGGTTCATGTAATTTTGCATTGAATGAAACAGAAGAAAAAGAACGTCAAAGCTTCAGCCGAATGAGTCAACAGATTCTGTTGGATCATGCAGCAACTTTTACTGCTTTGTTTTCCTCGCTTGATATATATTGAATGAGCCAATTCATTTGGGATATCCAGTCTTTTCCCTATTAAACAATCAGTTATGTGGTTCTGTGTTTTCACATCAGAAATTATTTGCAGATGAAAAGACCCATACAAAGCATATATAAAAGTTGATTTATCTGGATTATGCAAGAAAATCACTTTTTGTTTTATTTACTGCCAGGGATAGCTATAAACCAATAGTTTATTATCTCATAGATCTTTCATTTCTAGTCAATATTTATGAATCTTGAGAGTTAGCAGTATTCATCTTCCTATCTAAGGGAACGGTACTGGATCAAATGATAAAAGACTCGTAAAGGGGGTGAGTGTTTTCCTCTGATGTAATAAATGAAAAGACGCACATAAGACTTGAGCAGCAGCCCCGATATATAAAATAATCAAGCCACTATACATACACAGCATGCTGGATTAAAACATTAATTGCTAGATTCCTATTAACATTTGAGCTCTTGGGTACGAATTAAGAAGCTGAAAAGAATTATTTGTACATAAAAATTTAAAAAAATGGTCCTAAACATATACAAGACAAAACCAATCTATGGTACATTATAATCCTTTTCATCTTATCAAGCAAAAATAACCCTGAATTTCATTTTGTGCAGCTAATTTAGATGTGTCAATTGCTTCCCAACATTTTTTCATTATATCAGCACGGGCACTTGGGCAAGAGTTTGGTATTTCAGGTCTTCGACACTAAAAATATTGAAGAATTAAGTTAGTGATTGCTATTTTAGCTTCAACTGGGATATTGGAAAGTAAAAAAGAAATGTACCTTGTAGACATCTGGAGAAGTTTTAGAAAGGCGAATTTGTTCAGGATATATATGGCATTGAACAGCTGTAGATTTCCCATAAGCAAATTCCAAAACTGTACACATCACATTTATGATCATATGGCAGACAAGTAAGAACGTACATATCAAGAAACAATGAGATTTCACTTAAAACATAGTTGGTAATACAGAATATATTCACTCATCTTTTTTCTCTTTCTTATTAAAACAAAAACATCGAACTATAGAAGCACTTTAAGTACGCCGTAGATATATGGAGTGAGGGGTATACAATCTTCGACTCACTCGTTATATGGTACTATCTAGTAGTAGTATTTTTCTTTTTAGCAATCTTAATTTAACTTCAAATATTTGACATTTTAGAAAAACGAAAGAAATTTATTAAATGTTTTTTTTAAAAAAAAAATTCAACCTTAATTAGTGTGTCAATTAGTAGCATGTTAATTACGTGAGACGTCTTATAAATGGTAGTTTGGAAAAACACTTATACATTCAATTATTAATTGCTACTATATCAAGTATCTTTCTTTAAGGACAATGAAAAACCCTTATAAAGACAAACAATAATAGTACTGTTATAAATAGAATTGTCTTTATGGTGAATGTCTATATTTAGAGAGATTCTAGGGTTCATTGCTTGGTGGCTAAGACTCCCTCTCCCTATAAATAGAGGGTTCTATTCCATTGTAATTCATCCCAAAATCAATAAGAATTCTCTCTCCCTACTTTTCTCTGCAATACTCTTGTTCTTCATTTATTGTTTTATAACACGTTATCAGCACGAGACTCTAACCAATTGAGTAGAAGCTTTGGGATTGAGCATAATGATTGTCAATTATTCCATAAACTTCCTTCATGATTAAATTTTGGATTTAAGGTAAGTATTTTCCTTTATTTTTCTCGTTTAAATTCTTTACATTCTATAATTTGATTTTAAATACAAGCAAAGACGATAAATTTTGATTATAACTCTAATGGAGTTAGTAAGAAATCATAACCACTCGAAGTGGTAAAATTTCTATGTCTTGCCATGATCAAATTCATGTATGATTATGAGCACAAGAAGTGGAAACCCGTCCCATTGAATTTGCTTCATTCTCATTCCCTTAAGAGAATGTGATAGCAATATGTGACAAGTCTGAAAGAAGACAAAATTATTACCGTGAAGGTATCAATGGATGTGGACGTGGCAATAGACGAAATTATAATCGTCATCATTGTGATAATGAGAATAATAAGAATTCTCAAAATAATCCTTCACTCTGTGAAAGTAATATTTGTCATCAATTTGACATGAGATTTTATAAAGCACATATAGATGATTATGTTCCATTCATGATGTGAATGTAACAACATCTTATTTATGAATACATATTCATTCTTCAAAGAATATGAACGTGCTAGTGGTAATGAATATACCACACTCACCTCTAAAAGGAGGTTTGAGAGGAAATAAGAAAATAATGTCATGAATGGTCATTGGTCACGTACTTAGTGTACGCCAAAATATTTTGGCATTGTGATTATTAAAAGACAATGGTAATGCAAGAAACAGATCTTGCATATAATTTTGACCATAACCATAATGGTATAACTTTCTCTTTAAAAGAGATATTCACCATATGGATGTTGATGAATATGTGGTAGTACAAAATTAATTGAGAACTCTGCAAGAGCCAATTATACTATTTTGGAGAAAATTGATTATGAATAAGACGTTGTGTTGTAGCAAATCTCAAAGAAACTTAATTGAGTTTCTAAAGTATTTGCGAAAGCGGTTGGTTATATTGAGACTATAAATAAAGGAAAGATTTAATATCTTCTAATTCTACAACTTGTAGCAGGGTAATATGTATGTGAAAAGCTACCCGCTTTATTCTCCAGTTTGTACTACACAAACAAAAGAATGCCACAATAAAGAGAAGTTTGTTGATATTAAAACCCATATTAAAATAAACTTGGAGTTTATTGATAATTGCACACGTCATGGTGTAAATCTGAAGTTTATCAATATTGATAATTTATTCAGTTGGCATAATTGGTTTACCCATATCAATTTAAGTATTATGTGCAAAAATAAAAGAGAATTCACATGGGTAAATATTAAAGAACGAGAAAGTTCTTTACGAATTCTCTTATGTTGCATGTTCTCATTAATTAATATACCAACTAAAATTGGGATTGAATCACATGAATGCTGGAAATATCAAAGGTGAATATGGGCCCATTCACCTGCCATGTATATCCCATAAGATGCATCTATGAGATGGTTACATGTGCGATTATTATTAACCCGCAACTTGGTGTTTGCGAGGTAGCTTGCTCAATAATTTAATTTCGAGCATAATTTTCAGATTTTTATTCAAGACAGTTCATCTTGATAAGTTGGTTTACATCACAGTTGATTTAGCAAAATAATTTATTGAGTGCCTCCGCTTAATAGCTAAATTTTTACTTATGAGAACAAAGTTATCTATATCAGTTTGATATACGTTATATACGAAAGTATATTACATTTTCCCCTCACAGCTGGTTCAGGGTCAGGAACCAAATATTTTCATCTTATTATTATTGATGTGCGATGCATATTTTGATTAACACCATAATGCACAAAGATGGGTTCCCAAAATTGAGGAAGCAAGTTAGTTTTTCTAACATGAGGGGGAGAGATGATAAACATTTGAGAATTTACGTGGAATGAATTATTAATTCTCTATAAGCATGATAATGTGATAGCGAGGATTTTCAAGGTGCAACATATTCATTGAATTTAATATGGATGATTCATCAAATATCCGGTGACGTCAACGTTCAAGAAGCTAGTGCACAATTGTGATGCGAAGGCTCAAGGATGTGAATTGATGCTCTTATCAGGGGGAGTTAATACACGTTGTACTCTTTTTCCCTTACAAGGTTTTGTCCCAATGAGTTTTCCTTGCAAGGTTTTTAATGAGGCAACCAAAAGGCGTACTGTTAGATATGTGTACTCTTTTTCCTTCTCTAGAATTTTTTTCCCACTGGGTTTTATTTTAGTTAAGGTTTTAACGAGGCACATTATCTGTTGAATAGACATTCAAGGTGGAGTGTTATAAATAGAATTGTATTTATGGTGAATGTCTATATTTAGAGAGATTCTAGGGTTCATTGCTTGGTGGCTAAGTCTCCCTCTCCCTATAAATAGAGGGTTCTATTCCATTGTAATTCATCCCAAAATCAATAAGAATTCTCTCTCCCTACTTTTCTCTGCAATACTCTTGTTATTCATTTATTATTTTATAACAAGTACGTAGTTATAGTTTGTTTATTATCTTTTGACTAATAGTACGTAGTTATAGTTTGTTTATTATCTTTTGTCTAACTTGATTAATATGCACAAAGGAAAATATAGAGAATTAAACATGCATATAATGACATACCTCAGGAGCCATGTATCCCATGGTGCCATTTTGGCCTGTCATTTCAATAGGACAAGAAGCCTCCACTCCCAAGTTTATTATTTTTACTCTTCCTTCCTAGTCAACAAGTAAATTCTCAGTCTTCACATCTCTATGAACAATTTTCTGTGAGTGAAGTTAACTCAACCTACATAGGGATAAAGAGAAAAAAGAAAACTGTCACCATTTCAGAATAATTGGTCAGTACACCAGTTTAAAAAAGTGTTTTAGAACATGAGATTTTTGGGAAGTAATTTCATAAAGCTAAATAGATATGAAGATGAAAGTTGTCACGACCCAAAACTAACCCTGTCGTGATGGCGCCTATCGTGGTACTAGGAAAGCCGACACATTACCAACACAAATCGATATTTTCATTTCAAAGATAGTTCCAAAGCTATATAATATAAAACCTTCATAAAGGAGTTCAAATCAAAACAAAGTGCGGAAAGAAAGTCCGACATCGGGGTGTCACTAGTGATGAACATCTACTACAACTGCCTGACGATATCAAGACTAACATAGTCTGGAAATAACTGAATACAACTAAGGGAAGATAAAGAGGGAGGAAAGCAGGGCTGCGATCGCGAGGCAGCTACCTTCCTAACTCCGATGGATCTGCAACAGAATAATCAACACCCACTACCGTGTCCAGAAATGCCTGGATCGGCACACAAGGTTCAGGGAGTAACGTGAGTATGCCAACTCAGTAAGTAACAATAGTAAATAAAGACTGAGAAGTAGTGACGAGCAATAATGCAAGTAAATTTCATATCACAA